CAGAAAATTCGAAATTCTTTTTATTACACCAAAAGAATCCCTTTATGAAACTATTTCAGAAAATCATATTGAAAAGTCCGAGGAATATTTTTTGGGTCGAATTTTACCAAATTTCGAAAATCGGACTTGAGCGCGTGATTTCGGCGTTTTCAAAGAGTCAAATAATKCTCAAGTTWAGCGCGRTCSTGTACTCGAACACAAATCGAGACAAACTTGATATTCTACTCGTTTGATAAGCATATCAATAGCTTTCCAAACCACTAAAAATATTTTCTTTTAGATAAGAATTTGCTTTGTTTTGTATTTTGAATATAGAATTTACATAGATGGAAAGCTTTACTATCCCTCTTTYCATGASAGAAGTTTCAAGCTTGGGAAWTTTAAAGGTCGGACAAAATATTTTTCTGACGTGACACATCTTTTACGTTTCCAATATGCAAATTAAAGGAGTGTTGGCCAGAAAAAAATATATTTTCAAAAACATTTCTAGAATAACATGCTTGTCAGAAAGTCCAAAACAAAGAATAAGGACATAAGGTATCAATAATAATAAGAAATATGAAAATATTTTGATTAACAATATAAGAAATTTCGTGTTTGATCTTTTATAACGTGACAATCGAACGCAGGACTTGTCATCGACATTGAACAACATCCAACGAAGAACTGTTACGTCTCGAAAATAAAACCTTTTTAAGTTTACGGCATAGTAATTTCCGAATGCAAAATTGTGAGTTGAAAATTTAAAGGAAAAATCCAATAGCAAGTCTGGAACTTCTGGACGGATCTTGACTAGTTGAATTATGTGACAAGCGTGACCCGTTAACGCAATCATGTCTAACGGGTTTGCGCATTTAGTTTGCGCAATATACAGTACCCTTTCTACCGATGGCACAATACTTACTTGAGAGTAGTTATGGCTTTGTGTGGGTTTCGAAACCTTTTAATCGAGGCAAGTGAATGTGGGTCATCTCAAGAATACGACGATCATGGTTGTGTTACGTTACAGAACTGTAACAGAGACGTGACAAAACACCTCAAACTTTATAAAATTAGTTCTGATCTGGGAGTCGACAATGAAATGAAATTGTTACTGGCACGAACAGGTAAGSCGCACCGATTTGTTGGAAACAAACGCTCTGCTTAAGTTTAAATACTGAATATATTTTGTTAGGTATCTTTACAGTGGAGGAAAAATATGCATCGACTACCATCTGTCCTTATCATCGTGATCATTTTGGAGTTAGGTGGAGATGCGGCAAAGTCTCCTGCTCATTGCCAAACGAAATAGCCTGGCATAAATCCCCAAAAGTTAAAGGAGAYCGCGGCATTACCAGTAGCCAATCCAAGTATTTGCTGAACACCACTCACCAACTAATTCCTGTCKGGTCGCGTAAGTTATGTTTTATAATTTTTAGAACGGTAGTTTTAGGGGGTTTTAATGAGGCACCGGACAACCACAAAACTACACCTCTGACAATCAATCACACATTAGCATTTCCATCTCAAAAATGTATCACTTTCCTTGATTGATACCCATGCAATCTAGGCTAATAAGTCAGTTATCGGATAGCACTGCGAAACTATAAATTTCGGCGCAATTTTAGGTGTAGACAAAAATCGAATTATTTAAGATTGTTAAATGCATATTGCGCGTACCGGTAATCACCTAATTCCACATATATCAGGTGGTTTTGCACTTGTTTGTTTATGAATTGAGTAGCTTGGATAAATATTTTTTACTATCAGAACAGTACGCTAGATTTTATATAATTATACAATATCCGATCATGTCATTTCTTCATTCAGTACGTTTAAAAGATATTCGCGCCTTTTCAAACAAGATTCATGCTAAGATATTATGTACTTATTGACTGAGTGGGAGGGCCGTACGGGAAAATATTTGGCTCGAGACATGCCGTGCGCTCGGTCAGTACAAAAGACCGAGAGCCAAATATTTTMCCGTACGGACCGACCTAACACAGTCAATAAGCATTTTATCATATGACAGCGTTTTTTAATGTACAAACAAGTAATAACAAAAGCGCGCTGAACTTCACGCTGAGAAGATGCGAGTTTGTAGCGAAAAGGCGTACGGCCCCCATCACGTGACCATTTCCCGAAGGTTTTTTAAGAGGGCGCGTAGGACCGAAATACGGGTCATATGATAAATAATATTATTCCCACTATTCCACTTGTGCAATGCATTAATGGACCATCAAACCTACCAGTGTTAGTGAAAGTTATACTTCGGAGTTTATCCTTATGAGATTAATTAATTGATTGATTAATTGATGTTTTGTCAATTTAGCCATTTGCACCACATGCRAAAAGAAACTKGAAGAACTCAGTCAGCASGAATTTCCTGAAGAAAAGTCATCTGAACAAGAGTTACAAGTTGGCCCTGATTTGCCTGAAATAACAGTTGAGCATGTATGTAYACCAAATTAGTTGGTTAAGAATGATAAGATTTCTGTGAAATAGGTGTGGGCGTGGATTCGGAGACGTTCTATTTAGAACCTTTTTAAACTGTTGCTTTTATTTTCAAGGTGCGCAAGTCAATTTTAGAAGAAAGCGGGGGAAGTAGCAGTTCTCTTGACGGATTAACGAAATCCCTCAGTCATTTGGATGTAAATGACCCTCTCTTTTCACCCGACGAAGGAAGCACAACATCAACTCAAAGTGATGAGCCAAATAGTACTCCAGCAAATGTAAGACATGAGAAGCTGAATGAATTCCTCCTTTCATGTGGACTTGTGCCATGCATTAGAAAAACAGTGGTTGAAGTGGGATGAAACGAGCGATAGAACAAAACATCGGTATATAACGAAAACTACTGAAATCGTTTCATCTGTACTGCAAACCATATGCTGATAACGCTGGTTTCATTTGGCAAGAGTTAGTATCATCCTCCGTTATGAGCAAGATCCTTGGTGTCGACCTGTTGTCTCCTATTGATAAGAGCTACCTTGAAGCACTAGCTGAATCGTATCATAATGCTAAGAGCTGGGACACTAGAAGACAGATATTATCTATYATGTCTGGAGTAGCTAGCTATAACAACATTGCCCGATTTATTCCTGGTTTAACAMGATATCGATATTCGTCTGCTAACTTGCATCAGCTTCAATTTGGTAGAGGAACAGCAGTAGAACGCCAAACACTTACACGTWTYAAAGTTGATCTGAAGCAGCTTGACCACTTTCTTGGCTTTATTACCAGTCCACACTTGGTCCAAGATCTTCCTTTTGGTAGCAAGAGATTAAAGCTTTCAAGTGGTCAGACMATTGAGGTACCCAATGTCATCCGCGCTATGATCCCTGAAAGAATAGTTCGGCAATATTCTCAGTATTGCCATGAAACTGGTTTCACTCCCTTTARTAGAAGCACAATGGTGAGAGTATTGTCTGAATGCAGTGCCACGGTACGAAGGTCCCTACAAGGTTTAGATTACTACGCAGCAGAAGGGGCACAGGCYTTTGACAACTTAACGAATGTTGTTCATCAACTTGGTGAGATAACCTCTGATCCTGCCTGGGAAAGTACAACGATCAACGACCTCAAGAATTTGAAACTCTATTTAAAAGGAGATTACAAGGTGAGATTTAAAGAAAATAAAAGCATATTTGACAATTACACTAAGTAATAATTTTAGGTTCACGTGAAAGAATCTTCAGAAGTGGCACAACACTGCATTGCCTATTCTCTGAGCGATCCAAATGATGCAGACTACGAGAAGAAGTGTAACCATCAACATCAAACAGTATGCGAACGTTGTGAGTCATTGGCAAGTACACTAAAAGATATCAAGTCGAAAGCCACCGCAGCTCCCTTTTCTAACAATGAAGATCGCGATGAAGTAGCTTATTGGGGTAAATTCATCGATACTGGCAATAGAATCATGGCATATACTGAGATGCGTGAACCAAGACAAGGCGCGAATCGACGTTCTCGAGCTACTGGACGATGAGACGATTCTAGTGATTAACGACTGGGCAATGAAGTTCATCCCGAAGAAGTACCGCGAATCGCAGGCTGATTGGTATGGAAAACGAGGAATCTCCTGGCATATCTCAGTCGTTTATTACCGCATCGAGAAGGTGATACACTGGCAGGCATTTGTCCATATCATAGAAGGCTCCAGTCAAGATAGTGATGCAGTGGTTCCGATAATGCAAGACGTCTTAGCCACCATTAAAAGTGAATAACCTCTAATCAACAACGCCTACTTCCGCCAGGACAATGCCGGCTGCTACCACTAAGCGCATACCATTCTCACATGTCCAAGTATATCGAAGTCAGCTGGAATAAAGATTGTCCGTCTCGACTTTTCTGACCCTCAGGGGGGGAAAGGCGCCGCGGATAGATTAGCTGCCACCTGTAAAGCGCACATTCGAGCGTATGTCAACGAGGGTAATGATGTGACTACCGTAGAAAACATGAAGGATGCACTGCTGTCTAGTGGTGGAATACAGGGTGTTCGCATAGTAGCACTGAAAGCCATCAGCAGCATAACGAGCACAGAAAGTAAAATCCCTGGTATAAGCGAACTCAATAACTTTGAATTTGATGATGATAAGATTACAGCATGGCGTGCATATGGTATAGGAGAAGGGAAAGGTATAAAGGTGGAGTCTTTGCTAAAGGGTAAGTTGTTTAAACAATTTATAATTATCCATCATTTTCGAGCTATAGAGCGGATTTCGTATGACTGTGCAAAAAACACGATACATTCGCTCTGGGACCGTGCCGTGCCGTGGCGGTGATGTATTGTTTTGTTTTATTTAAAAATCGTTATTGGAATCCTAGAAGGCGAGGCTCCGTGACCGTGCCGTTGCATAGTCAAAAAAAATCCGCTCTAAGTTCCACTCTCCTTTTTTATCGCAGATTCTAACTACAATTGGCTGAAGTCTACTTTTACTGAAGGTTCATTTAAATCTCTTGAAAGAAAGTCATCTTCGAGTGATGGTAAAGCAGCCCATGATGACAAGCAAGACAAAGAAATGATGGAGAAAGATTGTCAAACCAGTGGTGCAGCTTACCCCTGTCCGTACGATGGTTGTGTCCGCGTTTTTCAGAGGTTGTCTGCTCTAGAAAAACACCTTTCACTGGAAAAGTGCGAGCAGAAGCTTGAAAGAATGTCGCTTCTCGACCGTGCAAAACTAGGYTATAAAGAATATCTGGAAGAGGGGACTGGCATTCTTCCGAYGCTCAATCCTATCGTAACATCCGTTGAATCCGGGAATTCTGAGACACCTGAGGGATGGGCATTGAAAGAAAGCAAAAAGTCCTACCGCTTCAACGACGAACAGAAGAGGTACTTGGATGCTAAGTTTAACATTGGACAAGAAACAGGTCGAAAAATRGATCCAAATGCTGTTTCAGCAYAGATGAGAAAGGCACTAGATTCAAATGGCAAACGSCTCTTTACTGTGAACGAATTCCTGTCTCCACAACAAATTAAGTCGTACTTTTCTCGCCGTGCTGCAAAGCTTCGACAGCAATGTGATGTCACGTCTGAAGATGCCGCGGCCRCTGAAGAAGAGACCAATTKCTGTTTAGCTCGTGATGCTGCCTTCGCTAACCTTCAACTGCAACATCCTATAGAATTCAACCAGTATAACATTTGTCAGATGTTTACAGAAAACTCCCTAGGAAARCTAAAGCTTGGCCTTTTGCAAGAAATGTGCGAGAGCCTAGAATTAAACGTGCCASAAAAAAGGCTGCGACGTAGGGCTCCATRTGTTGATCTGCTGAAAGAGCTTGTTCATAAGTGCTCGTGCCAAAACATTTGAACTTACTCCATATATCCTTTATATATACTGTTCATCCGTAAGCCAATCGATGCTAGGTAGTGACTATCTTATTGATGCTTGGTAGACTAGAAGCATGAAATCCGTGAACCAAATATTATTATTACTACTAAATCGTATCGATTATAGAGTGCAGTCAAAAAAGGTATTATAAAAAATTTTGATATATAACGCGCGCTCTGATTGGCTGACGACCGTGTTTATATCAGAGGACAGAGACACGGCTTACCGGCAAAATGTTCTTTTCGCTCGAAAAATTTAACAAAAGAAATATAAAACGGCCGCTTGTGTCTCTGTCCTCTGATTTCGAACTCCCACCGTGTTTATATCAGAGGACAGAGATACGCGCGCCGTTTTATATTTCTTATTTANAACGAATTCCTGTCTCCACAACAAATTAAGTCGTACTTTTCTCGCCGTGCTGCAAAGCTTCGACAGCAATGTGATGTCACGTCTGAAGATGCCGCGGCCRCTGAAGAAGAGACCAATTKCTGTTTAGCTCGTGATGCTGCCTTCGCTAACCTTCAACTGCAACATCCTATAGAATTCAACCAGTATAACATTTGTCAGATGTTTACAGAAAACTCCCTAGGAAARCTAAAGCTTGGCCTTTTGCAAGAAATGTGCGAGAGCCTAGAATTAAACGTGCCASAAAAAAGGCTGCGACGTAGGGCTCCATRTGTTGATCTGCTGAAAGAGCTTGTTCATAAGTGCTCGTGCCAAAACATTTGAACTTACTCCATATATCCTTTATATATACTGTTCATCCGTAAGCCAATCGATGCTAGGTAGTGACTATCTTATTGATGCTTGGTAGACTAGAAGCATGAAATCCGTGAACCAAATATTATTATTACTACTAAATCGTATCGATTATAGAGTGCAGTCAAAAAAGGTATTATAAAATTTTTTGATATATAACGCGCGCTCTGATTGGCTGACGACCGTGTTTATATCAGAGGACAGAGACACGGCTTACCGAAACATTTTATAAAAGAAATATAAAACGGCCGCTTGTGTCTCTGTCCTCTGATATAAACACTCGCTACGCTCGTGTTCCTAAGCTTGCTTCTCTCGTGTTTTTCGAACTCGCTACGCTCGTGTTCCTAAGCTTGCTTCTCTCGTGTTTTTCGAACTCCCACCGTGTTTATATCAGAGGACAGAGATACGCGCGCCGTTTTATATTTCTTATTTAGATATTACTTCTTAGGGCGCTTTAATAGTCAGGTGCTGTTTCAGACACGCGCGCAATGTTTACATGACTTCACTCTATACAATAAAAAAATCAAAGTTATCATTGCTATTTTATATATTTGTTTCATGGGTTACTTTCAGTCAATCAGAAACTTTACTTATAGCACATGTGATCATAGTAGTTTCAGTTTGACATGTCTCTGTTTCGATTCAATTCTGATTCGAAATCCGATGATCTATTTTACAGTTGTATTGTGAGTATTGTGAATCTCCCTAAAGATGACTCAATTCTTTATCTAAATATTGTAGATTCGTGAAATTAGCAAATATTTTTTATGTATTTTTTACATTTGTAACAGGATTGCGTTAGCCGGTCACGCTAGGATTGCTTTAACCAGTCCACATCCA